ACTGCAATACAGTTTATTAAACACAGTAGGAACCTCCTCATCTTTATCCCCCAGTACGGCCGGTCATTGTGGGGAGTTCGACCATAACCCTCCAAAGAAAAACAGACATACAATGACAAAGGTATACATATCTTCACCAGAAAAACTTCTAGAATTAAAAGCAGTTTTTCCTACAACAAATCAAAAGAACACAAAGATAAAATTATAAACTTGATAGGCATATCAGAAACAAATTATATATTGGAAACAAAATTTGAAAAGAAACCCTTTGCAATCATACAAGCATAATCTCCAACGGAGAGCTCTATGCAGGACTACTTTGGAGTTAACCGAGAGGGGTCTATACATGAAAAAGACATTTACTAAATAAATACATTTAAATATGAAATTAAATACCTAATTTATAACTATTGTCAGAATTAATGTATGGAAAGAAATTTTATTTATATTTTTTATTGTGAAATGTTTAGTATTTACTCAATTGAATTATTTAATTTATTGTCATTGTTTATTTATTTGTTTGTTAATGATAATTTATATATATACAATATAATTTCAAATAATATTAAAGATTTTTAAATTAATTTCATTCCAGATTACAAAATTATTAGTTAAAAAATTATAAGTTAATAAATAGTCACTAAATTATATAATTTTATATTTCAGCAATGTGATATAGACATTTTTTCTGATAGTTAAATTTATTTAAAAAGAAAGTGTATTTAAATATTTAGATTAGTTTTTTTTTCTTCTTTTGTTTATTGTACAACTAAAATGGCTCCTTATATACTCTTAACCAAATAAAATTTTAATGGAATACTTTTATAAAAAGCTGTGCATACTTTTAAATTAAATTTTGCAATTCAAATAGGTAAAATTATAATGTTAAATAAATGTTTTTATGTAAATTTAGTTAGTAAGCCTTTATAATAGATAAATGAATAAATAAATAGAGCTTTATTATTATTATGATTTCTTTTGCATTATTTCAATAAATTAATAATTCCACGCAAAATATTATGTTCGATAATTTCGCACGCTCAGATATAAGCATCATGGTCAAGCGGCCAATGCGCATGTTTGACAACCACAGATGTCTGGGTTCGTATCCCGGTCGGACACAAAGTTTTTATTTTTGTTTTTTTTTTGTATTTATTCAAATTTTTAGTTTGTTTTTTTTTTAATGTTTTTTTTGGCCAAAAACTCCGAGCAAGGCTCGGTCGCCCAGGTACTATATATTATACTAGCAGAACCCGCGGCTTCGGCTCGCGCTAAAACTACAGAAAAAACTCTAAAATGATAATAATATAAATATAAATATGTTGGGACGTTAACATACAGCATCATCTAGTTCCATAGTAAGGTACGAGGTTTGTGTTATGGATACCAGATAGTTGATACACTACACATACATATATAACTTTAAATACATACATTTATAATATATAAATATAAACACCCATCACTGGAGTACAAACGTTCATACTCATCACATAAATGAATGCCTCCAGCGGGACTTGAACCCGCGACCGCTGGCACAGCAAGTAGGGTCACTACAAACTGAGCCAAACGTGTCGTCAAAAGTAGGTTTCATACAAACATTCATCCGCTATTTTGGGATGAATTTCGAAAAATGCTAAAACATGTATTTAATATATTGTATTAAAGAGCATTAATACCAAGTTTCAAGTAATTCTTATCATAAATAATTTTTTTTGGATTGTATTATAACGTGTTTTCCCGTGGGAAAGAGATAGTCTCTCTCCTCTCTCCAGCCCTCCAACTATCTCCACACAAGAAATCATGCCAATCGGCCAAGCCGTTATGTAACGATGTGTATATTCTGTAACGATACAAAATCTTGACAAGTTGAAAAAAAAATGTTATAAAGTGCAATGAAGGCGATGGCGGTTTATAATTTAACTTCATAATAAAATACTAACAGTATACTCTCGAGATATTTTATGGCAGTTTTTATGTGACATTTAACCAGAGTTAGAGGAAATTCTAAATTAAAATATGTTACAAGAGTATTGAAAATAAAGAAAAAAGGCAAACTATTACATAGACCTTATGTGAAATGTACACAGCACCTGGAATAACATATAGGCTGCTACTAGAAATAAAATTTGTCAAAAGTTGGCGCTACCTTTATATAACATTATAAATCTAAAAAGCCCCTGGGGCATACCCTAGCGAAGCGAACATAAAATCTGTAAACAAAAAAACGACTGCGTAAAAAGCAAACTAAAAAGACGGAACAAAAACATCATACATGGTGCCAATGTTATGCTCAGCTAAGCGTGGATACCTACTCTAGAAATGTATTATTATAGATTAATCACAATAAAGATGTATAAAAGATTGAATGATTTTATTAACTTACACGCAACTAACTGCTAACTAAATACTACCCGTGCAGATGAAGATAAAAAGCAGTTCATTGGCTAGAAACAGCGTACTGCAGTTAAAGTGGTGAGGATTTTATTTATCCACTAGTATTGCCCGCGGTTCCCTCCGCGTTCAGATGTCCAAAAACCAAATTCTTACATTGCAATTTTTGCATTTTTCTTAGAAATGAGATATTTTGCCGCGGTAAAAAGTTGTATATTATGTTGACCCGGATAACGAGCTATCACCATACCAAATTCATCATCATCAAAAACCCTCCAGTAGTTCTTCTGTGATGCGGTAACAGACAGACAGACAAATAAAAATTCTAAAAACTATAGATTCGACCTCTGTATCGCTTATAATGTTTATTTCAATAAAATTTTCCAAAAAATATTTAATGTACAGATTCAGCTTAGTTACAATTTTATTATATGTATGGATAACGTTCTGGACGTTTTTTTCTGAATAATTTATATAGCGAACTCCAATAACGCATATTTATTAAATAACAGTGTATTTAATAAATATACGTTATTGAAGTTCGTTATTATATTTTCTTTAAGAAAACATTTACTCAGCTATTAATGAGTATAATTATTGATCTAATTGAAATTAAAATATCAAAATTTTTATATATTAAAAAACTTAAAAAAACTCACTTCCAGGCACTAAAATGACAAAAATAAATAAACAGAGGTTTTCATTTAGAATAGATACCTAATCAGATATTTTCGAAGTCGGTGCCAGCCTACAATATATACTTTATATGAGCTACGAGATGTATCATCATATCATCATCACCTTATGACATATCATCATAATACATATAAATAAAAGTGTAAGTGATCGCTGTCTGTACATGGAAGATATTTGAGAAAAATAATTATTAGGGGTCTATATTAACGAAATAGAACCCAAAACAATGATTTTTAGAATTTTCGTCTGGTTGTCTGTTTGTCTGTGTGTTTGTGAGCGAGAATCATAGAAACGGCCAAACCAATTTGAGAGCGGTTGTATTGTGGTAAGCTTCACTTAACATTTAGTGTTTGCTTTATTTCAATCGGTTTACAAATAAAAAAATATGTCAATTTAAAGGATTACCCAGGGACGAACACGAGCGAAGCGAGGGTGAGTGACTAGTAATATAATAAAAATAAAATTACATCGATCTATTGCTTCGTAGATGCCTGAAAGAAGGACAATCAAACAAACCAGCAAACAAACTGCCGCATATATAAGATTATGTAAAGCAAGCTTAATTAAGCTACAATATTTGCACTGTAGAATACCTATGTACATATATTTTCAATGTTTTAATTAAACCAAACCAAAGGGAGTTTGCTTAGGACGCCTGGTACGTGAGATGTGACGCCTGAAAGTTCTTGAAGGCAATCGTCTTTTGTACGTTTATGTACTATTTGTTATTATATAATGAAAGTGTAGGTGATGAAAATATATCTTTATTGGATTTTTTATATCATCACAGAAAAACCACTAGATGGATTTTGATGAAATTTGGTATGGAGATAGCTGGTTATCCGGGTCAACATATAGGATACTTTTTACCGCGGGAAAATATCTCATTTCTGAGAAAAAATACAATAACTGAATGCTAGTAACACATAAAACTAAGAATAGAACCATTAATATTTTAGTAATAATATTTTCTCTCGATCTTTAATGAGTTGTCATATTATATTCGTTATTTTTTGCGTCCATAAATTGTGAGTAATGTGATGATGTCTGCTATATCGCCCTGAGAGGCCATAAAAGCTGGGAAAAGATGGCAATGACAGAATTCGGGTGATAACGTACCAAATATATACGTGATAAGAAACTATATGGGTATAATAATGATAATCGACGTTGAAAGTATAGGCAATTTATCTCATATACTTTTTATTAACCTCCTAAATAATTAAAAAAAAAATATTTTTAAGAAGAAAACTTACAAGGGATTCATCGTTTTTAGTAAATTTTTAGATTTCTGGATTTATAAAATTAGGAATAGTACTCCTCAAATTAGAAAATGGCCAGATTTTACATAATACATATTTCTCATTATTTTATATACACAACAATCTTTTTTGTTGTTTGGTAGCTGTATAATAAAAAGAATATAAAAACAATAAGCAATCTTTATTTAACAATTTACACCAATTATAATCAAACTAAGAGTCCCTACCACCCTGAACCTATAGACATGTAAAAAGTAACTTTGGAAATTTGGTATCATGACGAACTTTTAATGAGTGAGAGAATTCTACACTGGTTATATTTATAGTTAACAAAAATAATTTAATTAACTACAGATCAGTTAGCACTATTAGCCAATAATTCTAGGAGACAAATTCTCTAAAAAAACACTAAATTTTAGCCCTAAAAACCAAATTAATTTTCAATTAACTGTAAAAACAGATTTTTAGTTTCTTTGAAATCACTCGGCAATTGACATGACAAACAAGTGAGTTCACAGTTTGCTACTGCCATAATAATAATAACATTAATAAAAAAATATTGCCATACAAAATGCATGTGGTAGTCGTGTTTTAACAGCTCATAAAAAGTATGTCAATGGATTGGTGGTGTCAAATATCCAATTATTAATCGACACTTAAAGATCTAAAACTTCCTGGTACTCCCATAAATCGTTCTTCATCTGTTACCATCCGTAGTTCTTCATTAGTGCACGCTTTGTTCATTTCTGTCAAATAATCTGTAAACTCCTTCGACGTCAAAACGTCTAGAAATTGCTCTGCAAAATAACCATATATATTATTAATAGAAATAACTGATAAAAGTAAACTAAATCTATCAAATAGGATTTAAAGGATTTAGTATCCGTTTGCTTATTAACAAGCGTTAAGCTCTAGGTTGGATAGTTGCAACGCAACCCACGTTTTAGTTTGGGAGATTGAGGATCGCTAAATAAAGTAAGATTTACAAGATACTAAATATCGTCCGTAGCGCCACTCACGTGGTATTTTAAATCTTCTACTAAAATAAAAGTAGCCTAAGTTACTCCTTATAATAACAGCTATCTGCCATCCGAAAGCTTCGTCAAAATTAATCCAGCCATTAAGGAGATTACCAGGAACAAACAGATAGACAGACAGACAAAAAAATTTAAAAATTATATTTTTGTTATAAATACTGTACTCCTAATGTAATAATACTGTATATAATTTCATATGCATTTAGTGAAATTTCAAACAGACACCTCAAGCTACGTATTTTAGCTATAATAACAATCTGTAAAATAAAGAAAGTTACAAGGGAAATTTTATGGATATTTTGTGATAAAACGTAGCAAATATTTGACGTAATTTCTACTTAGGATAGTTTATGGGCTCAAAAAGGTGCATACATCCATACTAATATTATAAATGTGAAAGTGTGTTTGTTTGTTTAAAAAAAAGACAAACGTCTTTCTTTAACGCCAAAACGGCTTGGCGTGATTTTTTGTGTGGAGATAGTTGGAGGGCTGGAGAGTGACATAGACTACTTTTTACCGCGAGAGATTATCTCTTTTCCACGGGAAAACACGTTATAATACAATTCAAAAAACAATTTATAATCAGAATTACTTGAAACTTGGTATAAATGCTCTTCAATACAATTAATTAAATAAGTGTAAATTCAGCATTTTTCGAAATTCATCCCATAAGGGGGTAAAAGTTTGTATGAAACCAAATTTTAGAGTTTTTTTTTTGTAGTTTTAGCGCGAGCAAAGCCGCGGGTTCTGCTAGTACATTTATAAATAAATAGACAAATACAAAACAGGTCGGTACATTTTTTGCCTTGTTTTTCAACCGATTTCCTTTCTTTTTTTAATTTAGTATTGACGAGTTTTAGTGTTTATCAACAACAAAAAAATATGCTCGATGTTCGACCACTAGGCGAACGCTAGTACTAAAAAAATTCATTAGTCTATGTGAGGTGAACTTATATAGAAATAATATTTTTTTATAACTTACCATGAAGTTCAATCAACGGTTTTTCATCACCACCATAGTCTTTGGGTAACATATGTTTAGGAATATATTCATACAGCGTATCCAGAGTTTTGTGAACTACTATACGTGATGCAACCTTCGCACTGAAAGCTTGCTTGAGTACAACTACAATTGCATCTATAGCTTTTGATTCCGACAAAAGGTGTATGCCTTTGATCCTCATACCGTATCCTTCCTGAAAATTATAAGCAATATTATGTACTAGCTGCACTCGCGGCTTCGCTCGCGTTCAAACTTCCGATATAAACATCAGTTTTACAATAATGTACGTAAGTGTGCCCGATTTATTGACATTTATGATTACTGCTCTACTCTTTTGGGTAGTAGCATGATGATATATAGACTATAGCCTTTCTCGATTAACGGGCTCTCTAATGCAAAAAGAATTTTTCAAATGGCATTAAGAGTTCCTGAGATTAGCGCGTTAGACAAACTGTCTCTTTATAATATATGTGAATTATTTATGTTTCATAATACTGTTATTAACGATAAATAATATTTAACTATTAAAAATGTTAGGAGGTTCTAAATTTTCATCGACGTGTATATTAAGCCGGCGAGTAGCAAGCATTAAAGTAACTCCAATTATCCTTTGAGTATTTATCCGTTATCCGTTGAGAGAGAAGAATATCCTTATCGATGTGATTCTACTACGTACCAACGAATATAATCAAGGTTGGGTTTTTCGTTATGAGGTAAAAAATAAAAATTAATCTGTGGCTAAAAGTTCATATTATTTAATGACTTACTAAACAGAATTATCAAAACAAAGCAGTTTGTGGACAAAAGATAGTACTAGTAACACTAATAGGTACTACTGTTTAATAACCGATAAAGCTACATTTTAAGCTTTTACACAGATTTACTGACTACGTCTCGGAAAAATCGGGAATCAAAAATCTAAATAAATCCGAAAAAGTGAAAAAAAAAGTCTTATTAAATAGGTATTATTTGTAAATATTTGGGTAAATCTAAGAAAATATGTAATATTTTTAATGTATATATCTACATCACCTTTATTATGTTTACAGCATTTCGCATATCACTAAGAGTGAACGCCTTCAATGCTTCCATCAAATCCGCGTCTCTATAATCTATGAATAGTAATAATCCGTTACAATAGTCATAAGTTTGGATGTATTCACATTGCTGAAATTATTAAAAAATATTATTAAAATTGTTATGTTAAAATGTATCAAAAAGAATGGAAAATACACAGTACACACACACACACTACTATAGGGGTGTGTGCGTGTGTATATGCACGGTAATATTACATATGCATTACATTAGTGGTATATGCGTGCGTGCGTATGTGCGTGTATGTGAATGTGTATGCATTTGTGTGTGCGAGTAGAACACTCATGACGTTCAGTAAAAAATTGTAATAATTTAATGTTGAATTAAATTTGGGCGTATGCGTGTAATAAAATTGCATAAAGAGATTATAGTGTTGACAAAGTTTGTGGTTGAGGTCTCTTTTTAAGCAAGTAATTTTTGCCTGTATTAGGATCCTCCCATAACAAAACGTACAGATTTTTGTTTAATCTAATAAATTATACAAGGTAATACTTAAAACTTAAATAGGTAAGCTAATACTGTGTGTGCGCGTGTCATTTTACTCGTAAATAATTTTAAAAACATTAAATTTTGTACTCAATAAATATAAGAAATATATCTTACCATGAAAAAGTATTGGTATATCTCTCTATATCCTTTAGGATACGCTTTTGCTTGATTATTTAAGGTGTATATTCTGTAATGTTCTTTAGTGAGTTTAGGCATAAAAGCACCTATTCTGAAAACCAAAATGATACATATATAAATATGCTTACAATGTAAGAATTTTATGGATAACTAGTTTTTATCCACGACAAAATATACCCAATGTCGTCCACAAAATGCAATGTACGACTTTGACCTGTTTCAACAAAATTCATTTAGCGGTTTAGGCGAGAAAGCGAAATAAACAGACAGACTTGTACATTTATAAATTCGCTAGTATTACAGTATTATAACACTAGCGACTCACCCTCGCTTCGCTTCGGGTTCGTCCCTAGACAAAAACAAATCTATCCCACGAAAACCGTACATTCTTCCGGGATAAAAAATAACCATTATGCTATTCCAGACTTTTAGTTAGTTTAGTCTATCTTTGCGCCAAATTTCATCCAGACCCGTTCAGCCGTTCTAGCATGAAAGAGTAACAAACATCCATCCATCCATCCTCACTAACTTTCACATTTATAATATTAGTATGGATTAGTACGAATTGGTAATTAACAACTATTAATATAAATACATACATACATACATGTATAATAAATATTTACATTTACAGCGCAAAAATGTGAAAAAAATCTCGGAAACTATTGGCACTATAGAACTGAAATTTAAAGAGTAAGTATTTCACGTAATACAAATTACAAAAAAAATCTATACATATAATAAAATTGTAACTAAGCCGAATCTGTACATTAGGTATTTTTTGGAAAATCTTATTGACATAAACATTATTATCGATACAGAGACCGAATCTATAGTTTTTAGAATTTTTGTCTGTCTTTAGGTATGTCTGTTACCGCATCACAGAAAAACCACTAGAGGGATTTTGATAAAATGTGGTGTGATGATAGCTTGTTATCCGGGTCAACATATAGGAAACTTTTTACCGCGGGAAAATATCTCATTTTTGAGAAAAAACACAAAAATATACTCTTACGATGCAGTTGTAAGAGTATACTAATATGTGAAATCTAAGAATTTGGTTTTTGGTCATCTCAACGCGGGCGGAGCCGCAGACAATGCTTATCTAATAATTCATATAATGGAAAAGTGAAAAATACTTTGAATGCACATCAGTTTGTGGGGTATCTTTGGGTTGGTCTTCAAAATTTAAATAGATGTTCCTAAAAAACTTAACTTTTAAAATTTGGTGTTTAAAATTGTAAAACATTTTTGTTTGTTTCAATTAAAGTTTCAATGAAATCAGTTTGATATATTAATTATTTAGTATCAAGATATTATCAAGTGCAATCTTTCTTAGTTATATTGTTATTTATAGTAATATTATGAACTAAATTTACTTATTTGTGCTATCAATAAAATTAATATTTTAGATTTTTTTAAAGATGTACCCTTCAATATAATAGCTAAAGCTGTCATAAGCACAAGTATCTACGTACTTATAATATTACTAGTAGAACCCGCGGCTTTGCTCGCGCTAAAGCTACAAAAGAAATCTCTAAAAAGGTAGTTTTATACAAGCTTTCATCCCCTATTTACCCCCTAGTAGGATGAATTTTAAAAAATGCTAAAACACGTATTTATTTAATTTTATTGAAGAGCATTAATTAATACCAAGTTTCAAAAAACCAAACACATTTCACATTTATAATATTAATAATATTATAAAGAATTGCATGTAATTAGGCACTTTGAATTGCTGATATTTTTTATCACAATGTTTTGTTTTTCTTATACTGCTTTTTAGCATCAATAAATTGTAATTTACAAGCCTTACGTCCTTCAAGATATTCTTAGATATATAACTAATGATGTTATTGTGATGAAATGATTAGCTATCGCTAAATTAGTAGATAAATATTCTTTAAAGCATATATTATTATCACTCTAGGAAATCAAGAATTAACATATCCCAACGGAACCGTATATTGTTCCGGGATAGAAAGTATGTGTTATTTCAGACTATAATCTATCTCTGTACCACATTTCATCCAAATCCGTTCAGCCGTTCTGGCATAAAAGAGTAACAAACATCCATACTCAAAAACTTTCACATATATAATATTATAATTTAAATAAATTTGGGTAATAGTAGGAAATACTTACATAACTTTTAGCAATTCAACTTCCTTTACATTGGGCACTCCAAAGAAATATGGATATAATGTTCTAGCTGTACATATTCTATCTAATTTCATTTTAGCTCTTTCCACCGAGCCTTTGCTGATAATAATGGTTCTCTCTAAATAATCCCTTGCTGAAAGCATTAAAATTAACACAAACTTAAAAGATATTTTTGCAGAAATGAAATATATTAAAAATATAACTTTTTAGAAGGCTACAAATATGCAAAATTTATCTTTTACTTAAGAGAAGACCCCAATTCCAAAAAAAAGCTGTTAATATTAGTATTCATTGGCTCCGGGCAAGCCAAGAAGCGCACTGGTATATGGCCCACCTCGACCCACATTGGCCGTGTGCTATTCGGGTTGCTCCTGGTACGTATACGATATTACGTACGGTATATATAACAGAATGGACTGTGGGAGCAACCCCATGGTTGTTGTGGTCTGCTTCGGCAGATCTGCCGTCGGGACGTCGTGGTTGAGTGCGTAAGTGATCATGCGACGCCCCAATAACACGGAGGATGTTCCGTTGGTTTTTTTTTGTGGATAGTACTGATTTTTCTAGCCAATAATTTCTACATAACCTCCTGTATGTATACAGGTGATATGCGTATATGCATTTCCCAACGTTAAAAAAATGGAGGAAACAGTTATAGAATTTAGTTAAGAGATAGAGCTAAAAAAAGAGTTTTTAACTCTATCTCTTATCTATTATAATTCCTACGAAAATAGAGACATTTTAGTATATAATCCATTATTGTATGACGAAAATCTATTTAATCGCCGTAACCAGTTGAATACAATAGTTCAATTAAAATGAATCCGCTGTTAAAATATTCAAAGTAATCTAAGTACTATTATTATTTATTTATACATTTAATGCTAATTCTGTATTGTTATTTCATCTTTTTATGCTATCTTACAAAGTTATTCATTAATTTATTTGTTTATGAGACTACTTCACTTGTTTGAATAATTCTATTATCATTAGACAGCAAGAATATTCTTAAGTTACAATAAATCTGAATATATAAATTTAATGTAACATAATCTATACAAATACTCTACTCTAATATATTTTTACTTAATGCATATGACAGTATATACGATAATTAAAAGAAAAAAGAATTTTTAAAATTTTAGTATGTCTTTTTGTTCCGGCTAATTTTCGAAACAGCTGGACAGATTTTAATAGGCTAGACTGACGCTATAAGGAGTAACTTTTATTTAAAAAAATAATTAAAATACCGCGCCAAAAAATAAAACTCATGAAATTGTGAACAAAGTCCGCGCACCTAGATACACACCCGAGCAAAGCGGGGGTATCTCGCTAGTAGATAAATCTAATTATGTCATTATTACAATTAACATTTTTGTAATCACGTTATTTTTATTTTATAATCTGTTTTAAAATTTTATATAGGAACCATTTTAGTAATACATAGATGGTCATGTACACATGTCATATACCTACACACTGTAGCGAGAGCACAATTTATCTGCCAACATGGTGAAAGTTTAATTTGGATTAAAAATGTAATTTTTTGAAGAATATTATACGAGTATAAGCAGGAAATTGTATTTTGGCAGATCCAGTTTCGATAAAGCGCGGTGTATATTTTTTTCACAAATGCTTACAGAAGTTTTAGCGTTTAAGCTTTTCTTGGAAAATTCGAAATGATTGAACTACTTATATTGCTTGAATGTTGCATATACGACATTTTCAATCATAAAACTTTACGTTCATTTACAGTGTTTACAGTAGGTAGATAGTATTGACAGTAGACTTTTAGCATGAAAGAGTAACAAACATACCGCCGACGACACGTTTGGCTCAGTTTGTAGTGACCCTTTCTTGCTGTGCCAACGGACGCGGGGTCGAGTCGCGTTGGGGACATTTGTGTGATGATGATGATTTGTATAATAAAAGTTTCCAACAAACAAGCAATTTTCTATTTGGCTATGTTGTCAAGTATGTTTGTCTTTATATATTTTACCTATAAATAAAAATATCTCACCCTTCATTAGAAAGGTTTAATATATCCTATTTCTCTCTCAAAAAAAAAATAAGCAGAAAAAATAAAAAAATATAAAAAAAATCACAAAAAAAGCATACTCACTAAAACTTTTTACAACAAAGTGTGGCTGTTTTTTAATCCATTCTTCCAACAAATTGATTGCTTCTGCGATTCTGCCTGGTTTATCCAAGTCATATTGTTTTCTCAAAGATTGTAACGTATCGGGGTTGAATTCTAGTATTGAGTTCTTTGGTATAAACTCCATTGCCGCGGTGATTGAGACGTCTCCAACTGTGGTTGGGTAAATGTTTTTCTTATATATATAGAAAGACAGAAATAAAGGTAATATTCCACTTGTTGCGCTATGCTATAATTTTTTACATTTTTATTTTATGTTCTTTATAACTTTTTTTAACTCTTATATTAAGTACTGACGATACATTTCACTCAGTTTGTAGTGACCTCACTTGCTGTGCCAGCGGTCGCGGGTTAGAGTCCCGCTGGAGGAATTCATCAGTGTGATGAGGACAAAATATGTTTGTACTTAAGTCATGGGTGTTTAAATTTATAATATGTACATATGTATTTGCAGTTACATAATGTGTAGTGTATCTCAACTATCTGGTATCCATAACACAAACCTCTTAGCTTACCATGGAATTAGATGGTGCTGTGTGTTAATGTCCCAACATATTTATTTATATACTAGCGGCTTACCCTCACATCACTCGGGTCCGCCTCTAGAAAAACAAAACCAAATTTATCCCACGGGAACTGTATATTTTTCTGGCATAAAAGCCTATGTGTTATTCTAATGTATGAGCTATATTATTAAAAAATTTCATTAAAATCCATTCAGTAGATTTTGCATGAAAGAGTAGCAAACATCCATACTATCTATACATCCAGCCATCCATACATCCTCACAAACTTTCGTGTTTATAGCACTAGTAGAATATTTCTTTAGTTTGCATCTCAACTTTTCGTTATTTATGGTCACTAAATAAATGATCATTATTATCTGTCAGAAATTACGTTGTTAGGTTTTCTTAACTTAGAGTATTTTTTAAAACCAGACATTACCTTTTTAGTATTTATATTTTTATTTTATATTAAATTAACTGCCTCAGTGGTGTAGTGGCTAGCATGTACAACTGCACACTCGGAGGTCCTGGGTTCGAGTCCCGGGTCGGGCCAAGTTTAGTTATTGAGTCTTTCTGTATAGTAAGTCTCAGTAACAGGCCGTAATTGGGAAGTTGGCGGTGTTTCACCCCCGCCTCGGAGAGCACGTAAAGCCGTCGGTCCTGCGCCTTAACTCTCACCGGTCGTGTCGAGTGGTCGTCCCACCGGAGTATGAGTGACAGGAATAGAGAGTGCACTTGTGTCTGCGCGTACACTTGTGCACTATAATATCTCCTGCGCAGTTGGCTAGTCTCAATGAGATTGGCTGCCGTAGCCGGAATCGGCTAGGAGAACATCATTTTTATTAATTTTACTTAATAACATTAATAAGAAACCCAACACATATAATACCATCTACATTTATTCGAATCATTTATATATAATAATTAAATTTTTCTTTATACGGTACCTAATTGTATTATGAAATAACCAATAATATAACTATACTCTAGTCCTACGATTACTCTGACATACATACATATATGCTACAATGCGGTATTGGATTTTTATAAAGCTATATTATCTTAACAACTTTGATGCCGGCAATGTTGCGATATTTTGATCTTTGTATCGAAAATCAAAATTTATACTTCTACTAGCATTGCCCGCTGCTCCGCTCGCGTTCAGATAACCAAAACCAAATTGTTAGGTTTTACGTATTAGTATACCCTTAAATTGCAGTTTTTGTAGCTTTGCTCACAAATGAAATATTTTCCCGCGGTAAAAAGTATCCTTTATGTTGACTCGGATAACCAGCTATCATCATACCAAATTTCATCAAAATCTGTCTAGTGGCTTTCTCGTAATGCGATCACAGACAGACAAACAAAAATTCTATAAACAATAGATTCAGCCGCTGTATCAAGAATGATTCAACTCAGATAGAATTTTATTATATGTATAGATGATATGTCAAATATCTATAAACCTACATATTTAATAAAAATTCAAGGCTTATAAGTTTTCAATGCAATATCCTTTTTTAATTTAGAAATAAATATAAAGGAAACCATTGAAAAGGAGGAAATTATTAGATTATAATATTAATCGAATAAATAATACTTATAAGATTATTAAATATAGTCACCAGACAGTACTATAGATATTAGAAATTATTTTACTGCGGGAAAATATCTCATCTCTGAGAAATCTGTACTAAACGTTAAAACCTAAATAAAAATAAAGACAATATTTTACTAATACAAATGTTGGATAAATGAAATAACTTGTTAGATATGCAGAAAATATTACTGAATTAAGAAACATTTCTCTTACTTTTCAGATACTTTGGTTTTCAAAAACGACATTATTGATGTTCTCCTGACCGATTCCGGCCACGGCGGCCAATCTCATTGAGACTAGCCAACTGCGCAAGAGATATTATAGTGCACAAGTGTACGCGCAGACAGAAGTGCACTCTCTATTCCTATCACTCTCATACTCCGGTGGGACGACTGCTCAACGCGACCAGTGAGAGTTAAGGCGCAGGACCGACGGCTTTACGTGCTCTCCGAGGCACGGGGGTGAAACACCGCCAACTTCCCAACTCCGGGCTGTTACTGAGGCTTACTATACAGAAAGACTCAATAACTAAACTTGGCCCGACCCGGGACTCGAACCCAGGACCTCCGAGTGTGCAGCCGTACATGCTAGCCACTACACCACCGAGGCAGTTAGGTTAGGTTAGGCACGACATTATTATTAACAATATTAATAATGCACCAATGACATGCAATAATGGGAAAAATTGTTGGCTTTTACTAGACCGCCAGATGTCGGGATTGCCCAGCGCGTTTGGCTTATTTTGTAGTGACCCTATTTGCTAAGTCAGCGATCGCTGCTTCATCTTCCGCTGGGGGCATTCCTTTGTGTGATGAGCAAGAATGCTTATACTCCAGTCATAGGTTTTTATATTTATAATACGTATGTATTTAAAGATATAAATTTAGTAGGAGTTTCTCCCTTATACGCGTCTCTCCCGGACTTAACCTATGTATAATGTATCAACTAAACGGTATCCATAACACAAGGCTCATAGCTTACCATGGAACTAGGTGGTGCTCTGTGTTAATGTCCCAACATATTTATTTATTTATAATATAATTCCACATTCCACACATTAAAAAATACCTGGACTAACACATATCCTAGGTATTAGTATTAGTAAAATTTGGCACTAGATAGCACTTCCTGTATATAACATTACCTATAAACACAAAAGGCGCCTAGGCACGCATATTCAATGAGATTATTTTAAAATCGTTATAATTTACCTGTTTTATTTTATCTGAAAATACTGAAATGTATCTGGACTATTTTTACCATGTCTGAGGTAACGGGTTCGATTTCCAAAGCTGAATGATCATAATTTACTCGTATTAAGATATTTATTTAACGATTATGTGATAATTAATATAATAAACATAGAAATATTTGGTCCACTTTGTTTAATTGATAGCATTGTGTTATATAGTACTAGCGGACCCGACAGACGTTGTCCTGTCTACACGTCTTTAATTTGAAAATTTCAAACTTTTTTTAATAAGCGAAAACATTCTGGACCATTTTGATGAAAATTATTATTCAAATTGTGAATCTAAACCATTCCCAGATCCCCTTGAACACACACAAAAAAATTCATCAAAATTGGTCCAGTCGTTTGAGAGAAGTTCAGTGACATACACACTCACACAAGAATTATATATATAAAGATTAGACAGTCGTGAGCAAGAAAAGCGGAAAACAGAGTAATAAATAATGAAATTATCTCTCACAGTCTACAAGGAAATGTGCATGAACGTGAGAAAAACGACAAGCTTTTAAAAAAATAATATAATTAATTATATATGATCCATGCATAATTATTGTACTTAGACTTAACAAAATTGGTAAAAGCAATTATAAAATCTTATCAAAATCTCATCACAGAGTGACACCCCGATAATTTTTACACCTGTTTTTAAAAGATTTTTATTAAACTTTTAATATTTATATGTATGTTTTGTTCGGGTCAAATCTTGCAACTAAATTTTAAAGCAGTCGTCCTGACCGATTCAGTTGAAATTTTGCATACGCGTTTAGTTTAGATGGCCAATACATGGTTACAAACTGACGTCATTCCAAATCCAATATGGCGGACTCCCAACAATGGCGGATTTTATTTTATGCACCCCCATGATATGGATTTCAAATGAAAGGGTTTTCTGAGAAAAATACGAATAAATACCTAAAAAATACAAAATAAACTTTAAATTAAATCAAACCCATTTATTACATTCCACAATTTATATAATATAAAAGCTTGTTTAAAAATGTTTTCTTAATATTAATTTATTTTATGATTGACAATTATGAAAATGTATTTTTAAGTTTGCTTTTTCTTTAAGTGTAACGAGATTAAAACATTGGAAATGAAAGTACTCAAACTGACTCGAAGTGACACGATACTGTAATTTCATTGAAATAAAAGCTTTTATCACAACGTCGGTATATCATTTTCATTTCGGTATATGGATATGTATGCAATATTGTAGGTATGATAATCTATACTAATATTACAAAAAGGCAGAGTTTGTTTGTCTGTCTGTGTGTTTGTTTATTTCAACGCGCTAATCTCAGGAACTACTAATCCCATTTGAAAAATTCTTTTTGAATTAGATAGCCCATTTATTGAAGAAGGCTATTTTATATCACCGTGCTACTACCCAAGGAAGCAGAGCAGAAATTACAAATGTCGAAAAATCGGGCATACTTCCATAAATTGTTGCAAAACTATATATATATATATATATATATATATATATATATATGTATATTGTATATAAATACAATGTATTTATTTACAGTATGTATGTATATAATACATGTACATACTCTATAACATAGTTTTTTTTTTGTATATTGAACACGGGCGAAGCCGCGGGTTCGGCTAGTCTATAATAAGGCTATACATAATATATTAATCAAAAGATGTTTTCAAACTTAATAAAATATGATTATTATTAGCTAAACAAAGTTTAATTCAATACTTTTCATAATCTAATCGACCGTTAGTTTTTTGAACGATCCAGGCATTCCTAAATATTCTTCGTTAAACTTATAAGAGTTCCGTTTAGATTCATCGCTGAAGAGTTTATTGGTATTCTGTGCTATCTCTCTAGCTTCTTCTGAACTGAAACATTCTTTCCACTGTTCTGAAAGCAAAATTATAAAAGGAATTTAAATTGTTGATATTTCTTTATTAAAAAGAAAAGAGAGGAGAGAGGAGCGGAAGGGAGGGGAGGTGAGAGGAGGGTAGGGGAGGAGAGGGGAGATTTGTGGAGCGAGGGGGGGGGGAAAGGATGGTATTTATTTATTTACATAAAACATGTATTTAACATTATGGTGTTACCTATTTGTATATAAATTTAATTTAAAAGTATGCACAGCTTTTTATAGAAGTATTCCATTAAAGTTTTATGTGGTTACGAGTATATAAGGAGCCATTTCATTTGTACAATAAACAAAATAAGAAAAAAAATCTTATCTAAATATTTAAATACACTTTCTTTTTAAATAATATAAAACTATTGACGAGCTTTAGTATTATCAATAGTATAAAAGATTTTACATCAAATTTCGACCATTGGGCGGACACTATTATTTAATAAATAGAACTTACCAGACAATTTTGAAATGCTCAATCCGAGTCCGCCGTAGTCCTCAGGCAGACAGTCTTTTGGCAGAACCTTATGTAAGTCTTCATAACACTTGTGGACATGGACCTTCTCAACCAAACTTTCTTTAAGAGCTTGTTTAATTATTGAAAGAAGTGTGTCTATGAATGATGGAGCATTCAATAAGTGGAATCCGTTTATATTCTTTTGATAGCAATCCTGAAAATCCTAATATATTAAACGTGCAATTCTTCTGTATATATATATAAATTTATTTCGTATATCTCGAAAACGGTTTTAACAATTTGGATCATTTTTTTTATATTTGACAACATTTTGCTGTTTAATAATTAATATCTATTCCGAAAAAAGTGGTCATCAGAGATAATCTAGGTCGCATAGTACTATAATATTGTATTACCAATAAACGCAAATCTCTTGCAAGACAGAAATTTTCTTAACTAAAAACACAACACCTCCTAAACAATATGAAATTAACGACTCACTCTCGCTTCGCTTGGGTTCGTCCCTACGTACGTTTTAACAGTTATTATGGAATAGAAAAACTTTGTGAAAAACAAAAACAACAAATCCCACCGTTCATTTTTCCGGGATAAAAATTTACCTATGTGCTATTCCAGATTATAATTTATCTCTGTGCTAAATTTCATTCAGATCCGTTCAGCCGTTCTGGCGTCGTAATTGAGTGACAAACATCCATCCAAACTTTCGCATTTACTTATATTATGTTAAACGGGATTCAATGCATGATATATAAGCTAACTATTCAATATAAATTGGTAAACTATACTATGTTATGTCTAAGTAGGTTTTAGGGCACGATCGGATGCGGAAATAATCTATGACCTAAATTATTTATCGGCTGATTTAGCGCAAACTTCCGAGTATCTAACATACTACACGGCTAACGTTAGTGTGGAAACCCTAAAGTTATATATAGTTATCTTTTCATAAAAACAACTAGCGAGTCGCTCTTGGTACCTATTTATGTCTCACTCCGGTCATAGCCCTTCTGTGTCCAATTTGATTCAAATCTGACCAGCGATTTTAACGTAAAGGAAGTACATTAAAAATATAAAATATACACATACACACTTTTGCAATTATAATAAGATATAGATATCAATATATAAATTGCCATTTATTATGATGATATAAAACCGTATCTATTATTTTAATAGGCAATCTATATTGTACGAAACAATTATAATAAAGAATCTATATATATATATATATATATATATATATATATATATATATATATATATATATATATATATCAGTTAATCCAATCTTTATATTAAATAAGGAAAACGTACGCATAATTTGCAAGATTTCCACTTAACATAAAACCACCACATAAAGAATCAAAGAGAATTGAAAATGAAAATATGAAATAATCTTTATTGTATAAAGCGTATGTAGCGACTCACGCTCACTTCGCTCGGGTTCGTCCCTAGGTACGTTTTAGCAGTAAGTATGGAATAGATAGACTATACATATATACATAGATATGGTAAGTTTTATATTGAGAAATAACTGATTCCCCATACAAACTTCCATTCCCCCTTGTCAATCCCTTATGGGATATTTTCCCAGATAAAAACTATCCTGCCTTTCCCAGGGACACAAACTGTCTCCAAACCAAATTTCATCTAAATCGGTTCAGCGAATTAAATGTGACAAAGTAACAGACAGACAGACAAACAGAGTTACTTTCTCATTTATGATGATGATGCCATCTAGCCGTTTTCGGCCACAGCGACTGCATTCGATGGCTTTCGAAGGTGGTTGTCGTGAGCTGCGATGTGCTGCCCTTTCATGTGCTCTTATGTGACTAGCATATCTAACTTGGGCCGAAAAGCTCCGAGCACAAAGCGGACATGTCAGAACACCATTGACAACATTGTAAGTTATAGCTGAAGGTGGTCTTTCACATTTATAATTAGTATGGATAACATTGTTAGACGATTTTTGCTGAGATGAAGCAATTAAAAATAATTAATTATGTTCTATGCTCAAGTTGGATTGAAAAACTATATTTCATTAGATTTTGTTGATTTTAAAATACTTACCAAAGTTAAAGTTTCTCCTTTCTTTATTAGCATTGGACTAACCTTGGTCAAATCATTAAAGCGTAAATTCTTGAGATCTACAATGAATGTTTCCGACACGTTATAATCGTAATGCATTCTGTAGTCGATAAACTGTTAAAGAAAATTGTTTTTTTTTTTTATTAGTTAATAAAACAATTTGTTTACATTTTTTCGCAGGTTTATTTTAATGTTTATATATTTTGCGAAATAACGTAAATTTAAGAAAGAATTATATTATTATATTTTTTCTACTAATAAGGTGTAAATTAAGCGTATAGTCCGGTCAATTTAGACCAAAAAATGAGAGTGAAGTTACATAAAGTCCCAACAAGCTGAATTTCTGTGAAATTGTTCAAAAATTAATTATAAACAATGTCTAGAAGTTCCCCATCATTCCCCTGTAAGGAAAAAAATTTATTCAAGGTCAAAGGTAAAAAAAATGAGTTTTTCGCGATTTTCAGCAAAACGGTAAGTTTTATCATAAAAGTACCTTTGACAAAAATTGTAGATCATAAAATTATCTATAAAAAATGTATCAATACTTTTTTTTACGAGCCACCGTTTCTGAGATATAACGATTCAAAAAGTTATAAAAGTTGTTATCGTCATAATATGCATGAGTACGCCACGTATATACATCTAGAGTTGTTATATTTTATATATATATATTAAATGTTTAAATATTTTTCTATCGGTCATTGTAACTTATACTTACAATATAAAATATACATAAGTTTTTAACCAGGAAAAGCTCAGCATCAATCAGATATATATTCATCAAAAAGTTTATTTACATTTGTAAAGTGTAAAGATCATGTACTATATTTACACGCAATAACTGGATGTGATACGACATCTGCATTTTACAGGAGGGGTAAAACAGCAGTTTTCAAAATGTTTGAAAAACAAGATTTAATTCAATGTGCTGAAGTTTTTAAAAAGAGTAATTCAACTCAACAAGAAGTTATTACCAACGGCATCCGCTTTCTTCTTTATATGTACGGAGCTCCTAAAAAAACTACCTGTTTAGATAAGCATCGATATGCATGTTTCGTTAAAAATACTAAAAATAAAAAACAAGTTCAATTAGCTTGTCTTCCTCCAACCTCAGTTGCTGCTCACCAACATCTTCTTCGAGTATATTACCAAGTTCAAGTGTGGCTTGGTTATCAGCTAGACCCTACAGACTGGGGTTGAAAGTTGGTCAACAATATATTAGAGCCAGTTCAAACTTTACTTCCACCTGCGCCGGAAAAACTGCTGAACACTATTTTTTGCAACTGCAAAAAGGGATGCAGTGCTAAATGTGGTTGCAAAAAAGTCGGACTGTCTTGTTCTTTGGCATGCACAAATTGTTAAGGCCGGTCGTGCTCTAATATTGAATCACAAACAATAGAGGATTCGTTTGACTCCGACGAAGTATCATGCGATACATCGCTATTGACGCAATTTACTTGCATCCAAAATAAAGATGAAGAAGAAGCAGGAGAAGAATAACAAGAAGAAGATCAAGAAGAAGAACAAGAATTTGAAACTTACGAATAAGACGAATAAACTTCAACACTTTTTTTTAATTTACATCGCTTTTATCTTTCCCAATCTTTGAAAATTTCCGTTATTTTGCAATAGTTTTACTTTAAACAGGATCACAACTGACCTGTGGAGTAGGCCTACTGGGGAAACCACGTTAAAAAAACGCGCTTAGTTCACTACCTCATAGGTGGCGTGGAAACGTGTGCATATTATGACGATAACAACTTTTATAACTTTTTGAATCGTTATATCTCAGAAACGGTGGCTCGTAAGAAAAAAAGTATTGATACATTTTTTATAGATAATTTTATGATCTACAATTTTTGTCTAAAGTACTTTTATGATAAAACTTACCGTTTTGCTGAAAATCGAAAAACTCATTTTTTTGACCTTTGACCTTGAATAAATTTTTTTCCTTACAGGGGAATGATGGGGAACTTCTAGACATTGTTTATAATTATGTTTTGAACAATTTCACAGAAATTCAGCTTGTTGGGACTTTATGTAACTTCGAATGTCTAAATTGACCGGACTAGTACGATGTGTTTGATCGTATTAATAGCATTAATCGTGGCTTAAACCTGCTTTCAATAACAGGAGTTCATTCATCTATGAAGGGATGGGAAGAAGAAATCGTGGGTTAGTCTTCCAGCACTCTCACATTTCGAACGAATCGCAGCATTACGGCTACTTTATAATATATATAGACACCATCATTCTATTTATTAAAGAAATAAAGACATTTAATATTGATACCGTCACTATAAAATCTTGATCTTAACTAATAAGGTAACAATTTATGAAAAAATTGTTGGATAGATGCTTCCATAGATACTCGTAGGTAATGAATAAATCAACTGACTTGGTTTTTCGTTGGATCTCACAACTTTTTGCGGTAGAAGAACTGCGTTGTGAGACTTGCTTTTTTTACATGTTACGTTTTCGATGGGATTTCTCTTTAACTATTTATATTTAAATAAGTATTAATTGCCAACAAACATAGCATAAATAATGTAATGCCATACAATAACTTACCAAGAAAGTATATCTTACGAAAGTTTGAAAACTGTAGTCATCCCATTTACCAGTTTCAAATCGTATCACATTAACTCTAGATAGATCGGGTGTTAACTTGGGCACTACTACAACATCTCTGTAAAATTAATTATTCTTACAACTAGAGGATTACTTTGATTTCAGTTCATTAAATTTAAAAACCTAGTCATCATCCATAATTGAATAAATGAATGAAATTTTGCTTTATAATATTACTATACGTATAGAATAATTACAGACAGACGTTGTAAGCTTATTTAGTAAATAGGGAAATAATTTCAACATAGTTTGTAATTGCAATTACAACAAACACATCAAATTACAAATCGATTACAATAATTGTTATTAGATTAAGAAATATATTTGTATGTATTTTTGTTATTACAAATTAAATGAAAATGAATTAAATGAATTATGCTTAGTTACAGACAGGCATCGTAAGCTTAGTAGATAATAAGATCCCAACGGAAATAATTTCAATACAGATTGTAATAACAGGTATAGATTCCACAAAAAAATATGGAAAGCAATAAAGAATGATTAAAAATATGTAAAAGAACATTTTTACGATTTTTCTGTAGTCTATCATTGTGATAATTAAGCAATGCGGTTTTAAATATAGCCAAATGGTATTTTTGTCATTAACAAAAACGTCTAAATTTGGAAATTTAATCTTAACTAACGTTTTCCCCATAATTTGCCGTATAGTTCAATTATTTATTACTATATCTTTATTATTATAACCTATGTGTTACTCTGGAGTATAAGCTATATTAGTTCAAAGTTTAATCAAAATCCGTTCAAAACCTTTTACGTGATATGTGAAATAGCTATATCAATCAATATATCCTCACAAAGTTTCACGTTTATAATATCAGTAGGATATTATTATTATATTGTGAAGTGCAGATTACTTGTTATTAAACAATAAACATTGCTTAGTTGGTTGGTTTTAATGATATTGAGGTTGAACCCGTTGAAGTAGTTCATAGAAATATTGCATTCAGCCCTCCTTAACGTCCCACTGCTGGGCACGGGCCTCCCTTCAATACGAGGGGAATCAGGCAATAGTCCACCATGCTGGTCAAGTGCGGGTTGGCGGACTTCACAAGTCTTGCGATAACTTGTTAAGTTATCTCAGACTGCAGGTTTCCTCGCGACGTTTTCCTTCACCGTAAGGCAAGTAGTATTTATGTTGGAAATGATTTGCACATGAAAATATCAGAGGTGCGACACCCGGAATTTGAACCCGCTTCACTCGCTTATCCAAGCGAGCGCGTCACTACCTCCTAGAAATATTGTATTCCCCAAATAATTTAAGATTAATTTTACCTTGATGAATTGAAATGGCGCATGCAATAGTCCGCTAAATACAATAAAAATTATTTACTTCAAGGGACTAAAAAGTAAAAACGATGAATGTTAGGGGTTTCCATTTATAATAACTACTTACTACTTAGATACATTTACCTACTGTTTATCAAATAAAATAAAGTTATAACGTTGTTGTTTGATGCAGTGGCATATACTCGTAAAACAAAGTTATATTTCACTGGTTTAGTATAGGTATTACTTACATATTTTCTAAAAGATTCTTGAATTCATCGAAAGATTGATTTAAAACCAACTCGGATATCATGCCTCTCATAGTAAATAGCTTTTCGATTATATTTTTTGTATTTTCTACTGAGCCTTTTGCTAAGAGATAAAAGCGCTCCAACATTTCGCGATCTGTAATTTAAAAAAAATATGTAATTTGACTATATACGATGTGACAAATAAGTGAATTGTCAAAATAACATTGATCTGGCAAGGGGGTGGTGTTAAGGGTAGTCTGCCTCGAGTCACCCAATTGGGGATCACACCTTACTGTAAAGTATATGCGAATAAATACGTGAAATAGAATTAGTCTGCACTCTTTTTTTGCGTTGCGTGTGAAACCATTCTGTGGAAATTTTGTGTTTGTGGCAGTCCTACTTGAGTAAGGGATGGCATCAGATTGCACTATTTAATATTTTTCAAATACATAAAGGATGAGTTTTTCTTTGTTTTTAGGGAAGACTCCAACCACCCTATTACCAGTCATGAGTCATGGGGACTATCAATTGTATATGTATATGTACAAAGTACATATTTTTCACAAGTTATAATATATATTATACATGAATATACAGATAAGCAAACTTTGCGACATATATATTGCAAAAAAAATATGAAAAAAATTTGCTTTTTCTTGAGTAGCTTTCTTGTTGTTCGGAAAAAAGTAATTTAAGTAGGCCAGCATACTTTCTAAGTCTACCATAAAAGTGATGCCAAACATAGAATTTACTTAATCAGTTTTACCTTTATAAAGAAATACCTTTTAGTTTTAACATTTATGTTTAAAAAGTTTTCCAGCCAAGAGACATCGATACCCAGCGAGTTTCTTATAAATCATATACTTACGTAGGTATTTCATGGCTTCCGCTAAATGCCCTTGCTTCGTCCCCCATTCCTCAATCGTTTCAATATCTTGTAGTATATTTTTCTTATCTACATTGTAGAATTGCCGAACTCTTTCCATTTCTTCTTGACTTACTTCTAGTAGTGAATGTTTTGGTGCATGGTCCATTCTGTCGTTATACCTAAAACATAGTTACAATATTTTTGATTGCAAAAAAGATTCATTATTGATACTTTAAAGATTCATTAACAACCTATTTTAGGAGAACCTTTATTTCTTTTATTGCAATAATATACACGATTAAAAAGAAGTAAAATAAGATTGTTGATGTAAGGGGTGCAAAGTACTTTTTTTATACATCGCTGGGAAAACCTATCATGTGGTCTCATTGTGAAACTCTAACTCACTTAAACCCACAGTGAAAGCTTATAACTGTGGTGAAATAAGAGTCTTGAAGTATTGAGTCAACTTAAAAAAAATCCTCCAAAAATATAAAGACCAGTAATTTTTAAGAGGCATAGGTTTCTTTAATATTTTTGGGATATCTTAACAATATAAACATATTCAGTGGTAGCCCAGTGGCACCGCGCTGGCTTTTGTAACAGAATGAAGCGGGTTCAAATCCCATATCTCACACATCTGATATTTTCATGTGCGAATCATTTTCAACATGATTGCCACTTATTTTACGGTGAAGGAAAACATCGTGAGAAAACCTGCATGTCTGAGAGAACTTAACAAGTTTTCGAAAGACATGTGAAGTCCGCCAACCCGCACGTGGTGGACTATGACATGATCCCCCTCGCATACAAGAACATATATTAACACCTCCAGGTAAATTTCTAAGAAATTAATTAAAATTCTGAGAAATATATTGTTAACTGACACGTGGGCGTGTCCGCGGTCATGGAGGGATTAAGATAGTTATTTGGAGTTCCAGTATACGAGTATGTCTCATTTAAGATGGGGATTTCTTTCAGCCCTGGAGTTATCTTTTACTACTCGACTGACTGAAATGACATTTTTTTATTAAATCCGATTATAATTAATACATGTGCTACAAAATGGATGGATTCAATACTGATAATGAAGAAAACTGATTGATGATTTATTGATAAAGATAATATACAATAAAATAATAAAGTTGCAACAATGTATCTATCAGTAATTGGATACTGATATGAAATATCAGTTTAGTGTGTTGTTAATGTGTCGCAACTTTGTAATCATAATCTTAAGCGTGGCATTGAATTTAATCACGTTAATATCTATACATATAATAAAACGGTAGAGGTCGAATGTCTGTAAATAAAAAAAAATGCTAAAAACCGAGTCAGGGGGATGTAAGAAGAGAAACAGAACAAAGCCAGATTTTTGATTTTTTTTTGTTTTTCTATCTGTCTATTTGTATGGGCTAATCTCCAAAACTGTTGGAGCGATTTAAATGAAATTTTGCATGGTGGTACCTTATATCCCCGATTGACATTTTAGGTACTTTTCATCCGGAAAATTAAACAGTTCCCGTGGGATACTTAAGAAACTACACTTTACCTAGTACTTATACAGCTTAGTACACAAAAATTACTGATTGGATTTTAATGGAACTTTACAATAATATAGTTCATACATCAGAATAACAGATAGGCTACTTTTTATCCCGAAACAATGTACGGTTCCCGAGAGATAGATTTATTTTTGTCTTCTTGTCTAAAGGCGAACCCGAGCGAAGAGAGAGAGTGGCTAGTTACAAATATGAAATGCACTTTGTTACTCCTTCATATTTTACCTAAATCCTAATCCAGAGTTTATTCTCTATATAAAAATATACTTATTATATAATATGATTTTTATATAGAGGATAACCTCTGGAACCTCTGGTTCCTTTTTTGTGAGTACAACTTTGTGAGTATTTTTAATATACACTATTTGTATTTTTTATTGACCCAAACAAAGTCACATGATAAAACTAGTTTATAATTGACACCAGATTCTTAGTCAAAAGATACCATTTTAGCATTCTTTTGGACGACATATGGTCATATTTTATTTATATACAAATGAAATAGAATGCGATATTGTACTGAAGTGGTTAAAACCCCAAAAATGGATACGTAAGTAAAATATAAGAAATCTAAATTTCTCAAATCAAAATAGGTATTAGCCTTATAAATTGTCATATTGCATAGTTTATTTATTTACAAATATGTTCATTTAAAACCGACAATTGTGTAAAATTTAATCGTAGTCAGGTGAGTTAGTTCTTAAGCCTAAGCTACTATTTCTAACATAATAATTACTTTATAGTCTTCGAGGCAAAAAATTGTATTCGCGACCATTGAAGTGACAATAACATATTTCTTAAATAGTAGTATACAGACAAACTAAAATAAATGAAAATACTGATTATTTTTCAGTAACTTATTATTCAACACAAAATGTAAGGTACTATTTTACTCTATGAAGTAGAATTTTTCCACTCTATTGTGTTGAGGTATATATTCATATTATTATAATTTATTTATTATAAAAGGCTTATGAAAATTGACGAATATTGATATCTTTTACCGTAATATACTTTCTTAGATTTACCCGAATGTGTGACATCTATCTATATATATAAAAGAAAGTCGTGTTAGTTACACTATTTATAATTCAAGAACGGCTGAACCGTTTTGGCTGAAACTTGGTGGGGAGGTAGCTTAGAACCAGGAGACGGACATAGGATACTTTTTAGCCCGTTCGACTGCGTTCCCGTATACAAGACTCAAGAACGGCTGGACCAATTTTTATGATATTAGAATTTTTGGATTTCTCTCATTCCGGAATAGGTTAATACCTAAGTATTAAAACGTCAGAAAAATTAACGAAAAGAAATATTTATATGGCTAATAACACTGGCTTATAACTATTTATATCTATTTAAAACGTACCTAACGACGAACCCAAGCGAAGCGAGGGTGAGCCGCTAGTTTTAAATAAAACTGTCGTTTCAGATTATTTCGCAGATTTATTTTGATAGATACCTTAGTCCCTCCCGTGACCATGATTGCTGTAAAGCATTCGAAACATCGGGAAGCAAAAATCAAAATAATACCGCGAAATAATCCGAAAAGATAGTTTTATTTAAAATCTTTTACCGTAACATACAAAAACAATACCCAAAATGACAATTCTCGTCAGTCCCTATTTTATAAATCGATCATTAAATATATACTCACGTTTCTCCATGGAGCCGCAGCATTTTTGAATCAGAAATACTGTACTAAAAGTCACTGCTAAAGTTACGTTTAGAATATCCAAATCAATATGTTTACAATATATTATTTATCGTTGAATTGTTTTTTTATCCACTTATCTTATGATATCAATGTCTAGTTACGCTGTTTTACAGAGATAAAATTTTGTTTCATAGATAGGGGATAAGAAGATGCACATGTGTTATTTAAAGTTGCTAAAACAGGTTTTTTTAACGTACCTATGACGCAAACGAAGCCATAGGCGAAAATTAGTCATATAAGTAAAATATTTATTTCCATTTGACAACATTTTTACTAAATATAGTAAATACAAAAATTTTTAAATCTAAATTTATCTAAAATATTCAGTATTTTACACAAAACCATTTGTGATCTCTGCTTTATATGGAAGTGAGCGAGGTTATGTTCTAAAATGGGTATACATTATATAATCATTAGAAGATCTGACGAACTCGTAGTACCAATTACGTTATAAAAAATATAATAAAACTGTGTAGTCATTACTAAAATCAATAGTGTGCAGTAGCTAACTTTTAGTTTAATTTGATTTTAACTTAATTTTAAATTGTACTGATTGCTGTCGGTTTTGTCCGCAACGCAACGGTTGACCCAAGCTTTATAATATTTAAGATTTAAGATTACTTTATACTATATACTAATTATATTTTTTTATATATTTTTTTGCACTATATTGCCCGCTGACATCTTCTTCCACAACCAGGGGTTGACTGGAAGAGATCTCTTTTAGAGATAAGTCCACCTTTGTGAACTATGTTTACCTGTGTTATTTTTTTTCTGTATCATATTTTAAGTGCAATAAAGAATTTAAAAATATACTTTATACTTTTACGCGCATTACTACCCTTATTTTTATGATTCTGTGTAGTGCTGGGGTAGACTTTACTATTGTGGACTTAAGGGCTAATATGAGTTAAAGATGTACGAGTATCTTTGGTTGGTTCATCGAGAAGTGTCCCATTAAAAAGTCATTTAATTTGAAATTTTTTAAACCTATTTTGTCCTGATTTAGCTACATAAGTACTTAGGTTTTTTCGCCATTTTATTGTTTTATTTCAAAGTGTTAAGGCCACGCACGCCGATATAGCAACTAAACGGCCAGTTTTTTCCGACTTTAAGCTAAATTATTATGATTTCTGACGGCAAACATATTTTTATCCGAATAAAATGGACTATTCCATAGCACTTAGCGGTGCTGTAGCTTCCTATTAGTGAACGAATTTTCAGAATCGGATCAGTAGTTTCAGAGATTATCCCCAACAACCAAACTTACAAAGTTACCTCCGTATGATATTAGTGTGGATTAGGTATTTCATCTTGTAGAAGCTCAACGGATTTGAGTAGAATCCAGAGTTAATATAGCTTATATCTGTAGGTATAATAAAATTGTAACTAAGCCGAATCTGTACATTAAATATATTTTGGAAAATCTTATTGAAATAAACATTATTATCGATACAGAGGCCGAATCTATAGTTTTTAGAATGTTTGTCTGTCTATCTGTCTGTCTGTCTGTTACCGCATCACAGAAAAACTACTAGAGGGATTTTGGTGAAATTTGGTACGGTTATAGTTGGCTATCCAGGTCAACGTATAGAATACTTTTTACCGCGGGAAAATATCTCATTTCTGCGAAAAAATACAAAAACTGCAACGTAAGAGTATACTAATATGTAAAATCTAAGAACTTGATTTTTGGTCATCTGAACGCGGGCGAAGCCACGGGCAATACTAGTCAATTATAATTATTGAGGTACCATATAAGTACATGAAGTCGCACTACATTTTTTTGTATTCAAATAAAATAAGCATGTTTTAGAATCTAAAACCTTCAACCATCTTTATTCCATAATTTACCGTAACTTATATTACTTATTTACTTGCTTTGAATCAATAATAATTTTTGAAATAATTTTTCTCAAGCAGAGATTTTTAATGAAAAATTTCAATATTGCCAGCAATAAAAGGTTTTTGTACAGTATTGAATATGTGATATGTGTATGTATGATTGTTGGCTTTGTGAAATCAAACCCTCGAATTTGGATAAGCATCCAATCAACTCCCTGCCAATAAGAATAAGAATTCGAGCGAATACAAATTTATATTCGAACGTTGAAGGGATAAACACAACGACGTTCTTAAGGAATAATTTTGACAAACAATTCCTTATATAATATACATATTAGCTATTATCATCTTTTATTATTACCAAGTTTTTTTTATTTTCTTCTTTGCTGTAGGATCACAGGGACCATGCCTGGTCTATTGTGGAACTACTAAGCATATTTTTACACTAACCCCTTTTTATCAAAATAGGGGCTTTATTAGGAATGGTAGCTGCTTTTATTAGTATATTATTCTACATATTAGGTAGTGCTTTTATCATAAAATTATTAAAAGAATTCGGTTTTATCCGTGAATATTGTTTACAATTGCTCATCTTCCTCTATTCGTTAAAGGCGATTTTTATAATAATAGGAGTAGGTAGAAATAAAAAAGTGCGAAATAAAGTGCATGTGTTCGTTTGTGTTTTATTTTACAGATATACATAATTCGTTGGCTCACTATTGCAAGGTTCTATGTTACAATTTTAGTACTTATTTAGTTATGAATGCTACAAGGTTCTATGTGTCATTAGCTACAGTTTTGCATAAACAAACCACTAGATAGCGGCACTATAACTACAAAATATTCAATTTTTCATAGTTCTATGTTATTTTTTTTACGATAACAAAATAACGAAGTTCTAAATAAAACTATCTTTTCGGATTTTTTCGCGAATTTATTTTCGCGAAAAAATCCAAAAAAAAAAATCCCAAAAGATAGTTTTATTTAAAATGTCAAGTATTCGCGTAAATCTAAGAAAGTATTAAACGAAGTTTTATGTAAAAATTACTAAACTTCATTAAAATTAACATAGAACCTTGTAATAGTATGCCAACGATATGTGTTTAGTGATAATATTGTCGAAATATACTTGTTTATCTCCAGCAATTTTCCATGTTTATAATTAAGACCAAAAAGCTTATGCTTCTATCCAATATCCAACGTTCAAACCCAGAAAATACAGAACCGATTAATTTACTAGTGAAGAGTTTTGCCTGCGACTACGCTCGCGTGATAAGTGACGCGAGAATCAAAGGTTATCGGTCTCCAAGATGCAAATTAATTCTTTTCAATTTGATCGAAATCTGTTCAGTGATTTAAGGGTAAAAACGTAACAAATAGAGCTACTTTCACATTTATAATATTAGTATGGAAAGTGAACTGACTTAGGCCTTCAGTCTTTACTTTGTTCAACTCTCGTTATCTATCTTGTTAAAGTACACCATAATCTTGTATTATGTAAATAGAAAGATACGTTGCATGTAACTTTTAAGAATATACAGTAAAGTTTATTGCATTTTCGTATATGCAAACGCTAGATCAGCGTTACTCTTACTGATTTCCAGCTCATGAATTTCAATTCGACGTCGCTCGCAGTAAGCGATGCCTGTACTCGTATTTTCCTTTGTCACAGTTATTTACTCGATGCCGATTTGTGAAAATTTACAAGTATTGTGTATTTTGTTCTTACTCGCGTATCGACTATTTGAACGGAGAGAAATTAATATTTGGCTTTTCAAAATATCATTTCAATGATAGCAAATGATGAATATATATGTGAAGCTATACTTAGGTTAAGATACGATGAGACTGACATGTCCAAAAAGGATAAAAGTCCCTAAATAAAAATAAAGATAAAAAATGATGAATATTAGTGTCTACGGGGGTCGATTTTCAAAAAATTATGTTGTTCGTATAGGCTATAGCCACAACTTCAAAAAGCTAACAGAAGACCGGGTAATACAAGATGGGCCAGGTATTTACGTACTACTATAATGATGCCTGTGCCAAACTAAATTACAATGTGCGAATGCAAAAAAAAACTTTTTTTACTTAGACCTTCTTTATGGAAATAGCGTTGGAAAGCCAACCCATCTTAGCTACCTTTTTATTTTTATACTAGACATTTTCAAAATAAAGTATAAGGCCTTTATTTGACATAATATTCAATGAGAGAAAAGAAACGACACGTTTGGCTCAGTTTGTAGTAACCCTACTTACTGTGCTAGCGGTCGCGGGTTCAAGTCCCGCTGGGGGAATTCATTTGTATGATGAGCATGAATGTTTGTACTCCAGTCATGGGTATTTATATCTATAATATGTATTTATTTAAAGTTACATATGTGTAGTGTATAAACTATCTGGTATCCATAACACAAGCCTCGTAGCTTACCATGGAACTAGCCTGCGTGTTAATGTTCCAACTTTTTTATTTATTGAACTCTTAAATTATTAGTGGCTTACCCTCGCTACGCTCGGATTCGCACTTAGGTGTCTTTTGCATTTATAATATTCCCACACTCGTTTTTCTTGATCTTTATTATAAAATATCACTCTTTATTTTCTATAGATATAATATACCAGAATATATATCTCATTTTTGTCTCTAGCATCAAAAACATAGTACTTTCATACTTTTATACCCCTTCAAGTTTTATTATCGCGACAAAATAAGCCTGTTTCCTTCTCTAAGGTCCATCCTATATCTATAAAAAAGTCATCTAAATTCGTTCAGCGGTTTTGAAAACTTTATAGACAGACAGAGACTTTCACGTTTATAATATTAAAGTGTGGATGGATAATTGAATAAATTTATGAATAGTCTTGAAAACAAAACAGAAATACTTCTTACATATTTATATATACAATTAATTAATATAACAATACAATTGGGCAAATTTTAACATTAAAATCCATTATAATTTAATGTGTCAATAGCTTTTAATTAAGACAAAATTAATTTCAATTTATCCAAGCCTTTGACAGATGGCACATTTATCGCCTGACACAATCTGAAGAGCAAAAGTGTTAATATAAAATTTAATTCATTTGAACCTCTCTGAAATATTCGCAATAATGG